GAGGAATGGAAGCCAAGCAGCCATTTTTAGCATAGCTTCTGCTGGTGCGGGCCTTGCCAGGAATCGCCCAGCGCTTTTCCTGTGTGTGTCCCTTTTTCTTCCCCTGAAGCTCCGGGCTGGTGCAGGCCCTCTCTCCTCCAGTTTTCGCCTGTCGCCTTAGTGCTGCGCACCCCCTGCTCCTTTTGTTCTGCTCCCCCGTTCTTCTAACTTGCATTTCCTCTCTAGTTTCTGTTTATTTGTGGCTGCTGCTGCTGCTGCTGCTAGCAAGGTTTCTTGTGATTTTCCTCCGTTTATTTTCATTCTGGTTCTGGCTAGCTGAAGGCATCTCTTCTCTTCGGCTCCCACCCACAGCCCCCTTTCTGTTTCCTAAGCTAACTTTGCTTGGCTGTTTTCCCCCCCCTCCCTCCTCCCCTAAAAGTGACACTACACAAATTGAAGACAAAAGTGCTGCTTGGGGAAAAAACCAGTACTGCTGTTTGTAGGCTGCGCTTCTCTCTCAAAAGCTAGTGGGTGGGTAGGGGGAAATACTGTTTCATAACCTTGGCTTTTTCTGCTATGGAATTTAGTTAAATCTGAATTGAGTTAGGATTCAGCTGAACTTACTAGCCAGGGTGGGTTTTGCTGACCTCTTTCTCTCTCTGGATTTCTTTCAATGCAAATTAGTAGCAGATTTGATCGGTTGGTGTTATTTAACACTGGAAGCAGATTCTTGCCGAATTGCCCTGCTTATAGGTACCTGGGTGTTAAAATAAAATAAAATAAAATGAAGCGGCCTGAACGTGTCTACAGGATCACAGGTTGCTGGGTGCTCTGAGTTGCCAGTGCCTTCAGCACATGCCCATTTTTCTCTTTCCCCAACCTTTGCAAGAGTACCAACTGTTGCAAATTTTGTCACTCTGCAAAGCAGACTGCCTTGTTAGAAGTAAATAGGCAGGAAAGCCTTTATTGTCCGTCCATACTGGGGGACAAATGGAAACTTCTGATTAAGCAGAAAGCACCCCCACTGTTGATAGCCAGGGAGTGACGTTGAACCCCAGGGAGCTTCTGCCCCTTCAGTTATAACTTGTTGGCCCCAGTCCTTTGTTGACAAACAGGGTCTTACTGTTTTTTAAAGCATTGCTTCTGGAATAAGGGAGGGAACAAAAGCAATGGGTTAAAAGGCTTGGATTGCATGAGTTATAGTAAAATTGCTGAAAGCTGTTGTGAAACACTTTGTTACTGGCCTTCCTCTGCAGTGGAAATCGTGACAGTTTTTTTCTGCAGAAATTCTGCTTTAAAAAATTAGTTTCACTTTTGTTGCTATGTTGTTTCCAGCGCTAAGTGACCTTTTTAAGGAGAGGGTTGTTGCTGAGATACGTATTTGTATCAATGGCAGACTCACTCATGCTACAGATTCTCTGTGCTGGCATATTCAAGAGGATGGCAAAATTCAAAATAAGTGGGCCTTCCCTCAACGTTTTTAAACTGGAATGGAATCCTGTCTTTGAATAACAAAACATTACTGATTTGAATGGTGCAGGGGTTGAGGCCATCATTATTAGTCTTTGCCAGACACTTGTCCTAAGAAAAACAAATCACAAGCAAAGCAGAACAGGTAGTCTCCAGAATGGGTGCGTATGGAGTGGGATGGGAGACAAATATGCTGTGTAATGAATGAGGATGTCTGGATCTGATAAATAACGACATTTGCAGAGAAATCACCCAGTTGCCTTCAGTCCTTGTTTCTGTTGCATTTTTCATTAAGGCCGATTTAACTGGGATTAAATGGAAGCGGTACGTGTGGCAAGGTCCAACATCTGCCCCGATTCTCTTCCCCGTGACGGAAGAAGATCCCATTCTAAGCAGCTACAGTCGTTGCCTGAAGGCTGATGTCTTGAGTGTGTGGCGGCGAGACCAGAGGCCCGGGCGCAGAGAACTGTGGATATTCTGGTGGGGTGATGACCTCAACTTTGCTGATTTAATTCATCATGACCTGGCAGGTAAGACACAAGACAAGAAAGGCTTCAGACACCTTGTTTAGTGGTACTGTCCTTTGGAGCTGACATTTCTCTTTTTTTAACTTGTTGCTGGCTTGCTCTCCTTGTAAGCTTGGTTTTAGAGAGATCTTGGTGAAGAAGCTCGCACCTTTTCATTTGCTCATTTTCCTTTATTCCCTTTCTTGCTATATATATATACATAGAGAGAGAGAGAGAGAGAGAGTGTAAACTCCATGTTGCAGTCCAAACTCCTCCCTTGCTAATGTTACACTGTAAAGTGTCAGATGGAAGAGAGCCTGAGAGAGACCCGGACGATGGGGCAGCATACAAATATGATAGATAAATAACTCAAAGTGTGGCAGAATGAACTCTTTGCAGTGGCTTCATCTTTGGTACCGTGTGACCACTGGTCTTTACATGTTCCCGAAGGCTGTGATTTACCGGGAGAAACCTTGCAGGACAGTTTGCGGCATGGCTTTGTTCCTGTCTGAGGTTTGTTTAGCCTTCTCTGCATTTGGAAGATTGGTTGCATCTTGATGTCTGTGGCATTGTGGCAGATGTGGAGTGGGTAGTTTTGTAAGTTGTGCTACCTCTGGCGGGAAGACTCTTGTTCTTTTGGGCGTACTTTTGGCTAGGTGGAAGTTTCTAGGGCTGATAGTATAGCTGCATTTAAAGCTGGATCAGATTGTGGAAACTGCATTTGCTGTTTTGTAGGGCTGCCATGTAACACAGGTGCAGAAGGATGGAAGCGTAATGGTTGAGCATGTGATGTGCATGTGGAGGGTCTTGGGTCGTATCCTGTTAAAAGGATCAAGTAGAAAATGATGTGAAATGATGTCTCCCGGAGATACTGGCATGCTAGTGTCTGTCAGATGAGATGATCTTGGGCTAGATGGACGAGGCACCTAACCAAGGAACTGAGACAGTTTTCTGAGTTGGAAAGGAGCGATAGATGGATCAGTCTGTTGCCTTGTTGCCGTCTGTTTGTGTACATCTGCTGCAGTGTAACACTCTTCTGCTCTGAAGAGTTTTGAATTCTTCCACAGGAGATAGAAGGGTACCATTTTTGGGTAAACTGGTAGTATGAGAGTATGTGTGACTGAAAAGACCATTCTTTTTCTTTAAAGAATGAAGGCTAGGTGTGTGTTAGAAAAGCTTTATACAAGTGGTTTCTGACTATGAGAAATGGATTTATTAATTGGTCAAGAGAAGCCAACATAGCTGAACTGTGTAAAACAGTCTGACAACACTTGTCGCAATTTTTGATGCTTTGAATTTGTGTACTGCTGGTTAGTGGAGTGTGAGCTTGTCTTTGGCAGCTCTGTTTTCTTTGAATCTGAAGGTGTACTCAGATCCCTGAATGTTGTTTTTAAACGCTTTGGGGTCTTATGTGTATCATAATCTACCTAGCATGTGGTCTGTGCTGCTGCTTCTTCATCATACACTTCTAAAATGCTATGCAGGTGTTCAAGAGTCCCATCTGCAGCTTCCCAACCTAAGAGACAAAATATAAAAGGCGAAAGGCATGGGAAGCATCAGTGTCCGCCTTGAGGGCTGCTGGTGATACTTCCGCAAGTCCCTAGTCCATAGGAATTAAGTGCTTCATCGCATCTCTCTCTCCCAAGCACTATGAAACTGAGGAGGCGTTAATGGAGGTAGCCGATATGGAAGTTAAAAAAAAAATAATCCTAATTTACGTGCATAAAGTAGCCTCTCTGTCATATGGTGGTGGTTTAGTAGTGGTGTAACCTGGTTTCTAAGAGTGTGAGCTGTGAGTCAGAAATTCCTGACCATGACTCAGTCTTAAACAAGTCTGTCTGGGAACTCCTGAGTACAAAAGCATTATAGAAATATGGAGATAATAATGCTGCCCTTCCTGACAGGGCAGTTGTAAGAATGGCCAGTTGAAATGTGTGAACGAGGTGGCAGGTGAAGTTTAAGCTGTCCATAATGCCAGTAGTACTTACCTACTCAGAGCCTAAGGTCATTGTCCTCTGAGGCTGTCCTCTTGTAGCTTCTCCTTAATGAGGGGAAACAGCTGGCTGCAAAAGAAGGGGCTTTTCGAATCGTGGTGCCCTGCGTGTGGTATACACTCCCCTGAGAACCTTGCCTGGTGCATACATCATAGTCTTTTCTAAGTCAGATGAAATCCATTTTTTTACCCCAGCCCTGTTACCAACTACTTCTGGAGATCTGCATTGTTTTATTCCTCCTGTTGGTTTTGCATTTGGCGTTATGATGTGCTGAAGGCGGAATTATTGTGCTTTTATTTGCCATGGTTTACCACCCTGGTTTCCTTTATCTGGAATTCCATATATCATTATTTGCCCAGATAAACTTGCTTATTAGGCAGATTAAAAATATAAGAGCTCTTAAATGTAAGAGATGATGGCTAAACATAGAAGTTATACTGTTATCTTTGGTAATAATTTAGCTGTAGGTATTTGGACATATCACTCCTCATCTTCTGCGTTCATAAATATCTGATAAATATTCTCCTGCTTAACTGACAGTTGTTGTCCTGGCTCAGGGCTGTCAGTGGGGAGGGATATGCCCAGGTGGCCTTTGCAGGGCTATTCTCACTTGCTTCATACTCGAAGGCGGGAGAGCCTTACGCACGCAGTGGCACTATGCTAAACACTGTGTTGGATGCACGGCTTGGCCTGCGTCCGCTGGGCTGGCAGGCAACTGGGGCAGCACTGTTGCTACCCGCAGCTAACCAAGCCCGTGCCCATCCGCAGAGCTGTAAGATCTGTGGTGACATTCGGAGCACTTGTAAGCAGAAGGAAAGATGCGCCTGCTGAGCATCGCTGGGGCACCGAGGGCACCCAGCGGAGCTTTTCCTGGCTGGCGTGTCCCCGCCGTGGAACTCGTGGTACACTGCAAATGCGCCCATCTCAGTCCTTGTGGCAGAGTGTCTTGATTCAGGGACGCCTCGTAAGATGCCCGTAGTTACTGGCTGAGAAGAAATTTGCTTTTGAAGAACTCTGCACACATTGTACTAATGTTAGGATAGAACGTACGATAAACAGTCCAAATATGTTTGCTTAGTATATGAAAACATGATAGGTAAGAGTTTCAGTGTTATTTTTAAAAATCGGTATATATTTGCTGCTGGTTTTAAATTGCTGTTGGTCCTCAGTGTTGTGTTACTTGTTGCTTCAGGTGTTTTGGAAGGAGGCAGCAAACATTTCAAATGTTAAAAGCCCCAGTGGAGCATTTAAGCAGGTGCTTTAAGTTTCACTTGTTGAAATCCAGCTGGGTTTGAAAGGGCTTAACTTAGTCTGGATCACATTTAGAGTAAATCTTTCCCTCAAGAGACAATAGCTAGCACTAATATAGCACTTCAGAGTGTTTAAAGTACTTCCTAGATATCTCAGCCTTCTTTTGATAACAGCTGTATGAGATAGGTTAGTATTACTCCATATTGTTTGGGCTGAGGTGGAAAAGCTCTTTCTGCAGTGCCAGGCTATTTATCCTTCTAGCCTTCTGATCAGTGGTTGCTTTTCAGGTCTAAGGCAGAGAGAGGTCTTTTCGGTTTCAAATCCGCTTGTTTGAATCCGAGTCTTTCTGTGTGCAAAGCGTGTGGATTACTGTTGAGCTGGTGTCTTCCCATAAAGCATAAATGGTTTACCTAGTGAATTAGTGGCAGAGATGAGTTTTGAACAGTGGACCTCTTGATTTACTGCTCATTTCGTTTGCATTGGTGCCATGTTAGCTCTTGCAATACACAGGGAAGGAATTGTTCCTTCCATGAAACAGCTCCACCTGTTAGCATAACCTTATTGAATCTCTGTATGTACTCTTCTCTAGGATCAGCTCCATGCTCTGGGCAATAGTATTTTTGGTTCTGGCTTCAATAGTAAAAAAAAGCAAGTGTGTTTTGAAGTACTTGAGTTAGCAGGTTACAGCCAGTAGTCCTCGAAAACATAGGGAAAAAGCGAGTCCCCTGGCCCCAGCCGGCTCCACTCATGTAATCCCCATCATGTGGTTGTCCACTCTTTCCTTGAACACCCTCACTGATGGGGCCTCAACCACCTCCCGTGGAAGCCCATTCCACACCCTCGGGGTCCTGACTGTCAGGAAGTCCTTCCTACATCCAGCCTGAAGCCTGGTTCCTTGCGCTTGGCTCCACTGGAACATGTCCTGCCCTCCATTGCAAGGAAGAACAGCTCACGGGGCTCCTTCACATGACAACCCCTCACATACCTATAAGCCTCTGGAAGATCCCCTCGGAGTCTCCTCTTCTCCAGGCTGAAGAGACCCAGTTCCCTCAATCTCTTCTCATAGGTCATTCCTCCCAACCCGGCTACCATTCCTGTGACCCTGCACTGAACAGATTCTAACTGAGCTATGTCTCTCTTACGATGTGGAGCCCAGAACTGGACAAGGCACTTGCTAAAAAGAGGTCATTTACAGAGCAGACAGTTGCGCATTCTGGCAGTGGTACATCTACAGCTTCCTTATTTTGCCCTGTGAGTTACCTCAGTCGTAACTTGCGGCTTTACAGACGATAAGGCCATGCAACTTAGATCATAACCATTTTTAGGTTTTGGCTGCTTCAGAGGAGAGGCGAGCTCGCGGTGTGCAAGGGTGTAGTGTCATGGTCTTGCCTGCTAAAACTAAGGGATGCAAAATGCGTAAGGGAAATGCTTTCTACTGGGCTACTTTTTGGATTACAGGAATGTGTAAGTTTTTATTTGACATGCAACTCTTCAACTGGTATCATGTAAAGTCAGCTAAAAGGCTAGCTAAATTCATATATCCATACAGAAGATCTGTCTGGCAGTGTAGAGTAGAACAACACTGGCGGAATAGAGACAGTAAAACTGTTTATGGCCTGTTAACAAACATTTTCGCTCCCCCTCGTAGGAAGATAGGAATAGTTAAGACTTTTTGTCCATGTGGCTCAGTATTGTCTTCCATAAAGGTCTGAGGCAGAAAAGGGTCTTTCCTGTTAAGTGCTACCTGATCATTTTACCTGGAGGTGACAGGGATTGAAA